AAAACTTTTAGAACTTTTAGAACTTTTAGGACTTGTAGGACTGATAGGACTTTTGGGACTTTTGGGACTTTTGGGACTTTTAGAACTTTTAGAACTTTTAGAACTTTTAGAACTTTTAGAACTTTTAGGACTTTTAGAACTTTTAGAACTTTTAGAACTTTTAGAACTTTTCGAACTTTTAGAACTTTTAGAACTTTTAGAACTTTTGGAACTTGTACAAGTTTGACAACATGTTGACAACATGCTTGTTGAGGCTCTTGTACAACTTTGACAACATGTTGACAACATGCTTGTTGAGGCTCTGAAAGGCTCACGCGCCCGAACTGCAGTGGGCGCTTTCCCACGCGCCCGAACTGCATCCAACCCCATGAAACTTGCTGCTGGCGGTAGTCTGTTTCTTCTTAAAGGTGATGACTCCATCGTGAATAGTGATCAGCTTTGTCCCGGTTGGACGCATCACCATAATCGGGAACGCTGGCGGCATAGCTGAGTGCGCAATCGTCGCGCCCATCAGGGCAACGGTCAATCCGCCATGAATGCTTACCGTGATCATCGCGTCTGCGGGAGTCCACTGACCTCGGTTTACGACGGCGAGTCGTTGTAGTAGATGGAATCATACCGACCGGGCATAGTAGCTAGCGGACCGAAGACGATACGAAACATCTTTTCGTACGCCTTGCACCATGTATTCCACTTTTCTTGAAGCCCACTGACAGCGCGAGTGGCCTTGGCCGGCGCCGGAAGCTGGAAGTGATCGCCCTCTCCAAACTGCGGCACCTGCTTCTGAAAATATGGAAAAACCATGGATCGGAATGCGGAGACCTGTCGGTCAGCGTGGGATTCGTTTGACCGGAGAAGTCCATCTTGTGGTAGCCCGTGTGCAGGCATCCATATCAGAATCAGACACTTGAACAGATCGACTGGGGTGTGTCCTCCATCAGACATGGCGTCTAGTCTGGCTGTTGCGGCGTTGCCGGTTGAGCGCCCGTGGAAGGAGTATCGGTTCCTCCCGGGTGCGCGTCATCTCCAGTTCCAGTCATCGTGAATGGAGCGAATTCAACCGAGACAGATCCCGTCATATGGCCAGTGGCAAGAATTCTGGACGGATCGATTGGGTTAACCTCCATCCAAGGATGCCATGATGTCGACGTACAATCCTCTGGATCGAGAAATCGATACCCATGTACGAGATGCTTCGGATTTGTCTCGGACTGCTTCTGCGAAGTGAAGTACTCACTGATTCGATGCGGCCGAACCGCAATTCCACATATCTCGAGCGTAGACGTTGCAACTCGGATCTGTTTCTTCGACCCCCCTTTTGTTCGAGAGACATTAGGATCGCCCTCGGGAACGAGGCTCTTGTCAACGCGTGCCATAATCTGGAACCAGTATCCATCACCATATAGCATGATGGTGCGTAGGATCGAATCTCCGAGGCGGACTGGGACAGCCACACGCAGGGCTTAAGAGAGCCGTCATCAATTTCGTACTCGGCCCCAAGCAGTCCTCCGCGTGCCAAAATAGACCATAAGTGTCGAAGCGAGGTACCGTGCAGTAACGTATCTTCGGGATTTGTGACATTACTTCCTGCGAGCGGCACGTAGGTCCACATATCGTTGGGACCGATCGTAGTCTTTCCCGTGCTGTCGGAATATGCCATGATGGTCGCAGCTCCCCAATCCAAGCAATCATCAATAGTGACGCAGTAGTCAGGAAAGGCATCGGCCATGCGCCTCAAGTAGGCTGGCCATCCCGTCAACTCCTCATCGCTATCGCGCGATACTTCCCAGTTCATGCCAGCAACCTCTGGAATTCCATTGATATCGGCTTTGGGAAGATTCCCATCCACCTCCGCTCTGCATTTGGATAGTCGGTCGGACTGTTCGGTGAGTGACTGCAGAGTCGGAAATCGAGACTCAGCCTTCTCAGCCAAAAATCCACCCGGCAAGAAGGTAAGTGTAGGTCGAACAACAAAACTCACAAACTTTTGCGCACAAACTTTGAGCCTTGTGCCGCCGTCGTGTGCTATGCTGCTTTGGCACTCTCGAAACAAGACAAAGGAAAACGGGGATTCGGTTTCTTTAAAGTTTTGTCAACCCCCTTGGAATGCACAGGATCCACTCTTGTGCTTTCCACTCAAAACTGGTGCTTCTGCGAATGTTTCATCCGCCTCTCGTTACGAGAACTGAAGTTCACCACTGAGCGTACTGTACAGGCCACAGCTTCCAAACACTGGTGACGGGTCTCTTCTTGAGGAGAAAAGATCTTGCTCTAGATCCCGCGCACCAACTACACCAATCAACAACAGCAAGCCTGTGAGCTGACATCTTGGGTCCTTTCTTGTTCTAGGCTCACATGGACTTTAGCAGTTAGCAAAGCGTGGCACGTCACACAACAATCTTTGTACACTTACGTAGAACTTGGGACTGCCGTTCGAAGGAAACAAAGACTTATGTCCAACACTTCGAAGACATCAGAGGATTTAAAAGCACGAATGCCTATGCATTCAAAAGCGTCTTTCCTCATCGAAGACAACTGCAAGCACTGACCTAAAGTCTTGCACGGCACCTGAAAGAGAAAACTCAGCCGCTACCAGCTAAGTAGCTCCTACAGTCTCAGGCTCACTGCTGCTCACTGCCTCTCAAGGCTGGCACTGTTTGCAAGCACGTAGTCCCTTGCTCGTCGCAAACTCCCTGCTCACGATAGTCACATTTGTTGGGAGCTGCCGCTGCCACTTGCGCACCATGCCGCAGCTCTCCCTGTCGTACGACTTCTTCCGCAAGAGCTCGCCGATGATGTAGACCTGGTCGTTGTTCAGCGCCAGGGGTCTCTGCTCCTCGTCATCGTTGTTGTGGTTCTCCCCGGCGTCATCCTCGTCAAACGTGTAGCTCTGTGTGTACCTTTCGTTTGCACCGCCTTCGTCATCATCACTGCGCGGCCATGGTTCAACGAATGCTGCATCGGCCCAGTCCTCATAGCAACTGGCACTTCCATCAGCATCTTCTGGCGTGGACCTCTGAACCGCACCAGACGACGACGCTGCAGGAACTGGGTCTCCACGGCGTTCACCAAGAAGTTCCGTTTCGAACCATGCATGGATGCGGTCCCTCAGCTGGTTCTGATTCACATTCTCATCCACCGGCTCTCCGCGATCACCGCGTCTGCGATTCCATCGACGGGGTGGCATACAACCAAAGACCACCCGCCCACCAAGCTGCTTCGTGAACCCACCATCCAAGCCTGAAGCACTAGCCGAAACTACTGCAATGACCATCATCATCCACACATGGCCCCACGCGCCATTGGCACCAAAGATCATGGCCAGCTTCCGAGCACCAACCAATCCACAGATCACAACCATCAAGACAACAGCCCAAACTTGGATGGACACCGCCCGAGGCATCTCCAATTCTAGCCGCCTCACCCCCCTCAATGATCACAGCCAGCGCTCGCATGATCGCTGCCACTCCAGAACTCGGGGTAGAAGCGAACCTTGTCCTCACCCGCCGAAGGTGAGCCTGCTCGTGCTCATCATCGCCATCCAAGCTCATGCCAATCAAGCTCATGAGGTACTTTAGCCGAGTCCTACCATGGGGCTTTGTTTGAAGGTCAGCTGGGGCATCTTTTGTTGCGATAGGCTTTGGTATAAAAACTCCATCATGATGTGCTTTCTGGATCCACAGCCATGCCAAGCTAACATGCCGAGTTCTCTGAAGACCCTGCTTCTGGATGATGGCCCTCGCTGCCGAATTGTCGACATAAATGCACAAGCTTCACTCTGGAGTTGGGGCCACACATGAAACGGACCATCTCTGCAAGGAACATTGCCTCTGTCATGCCAAGGAGCAATGCCATGAGCTCGCTCTCTGCCGAGCTCAGGCTGATCACTTTCTGTACCGTGTTTCCAGCATGGCATAGGTTACCGTTCACAAGACATAGAGCGTCGCTGTTGGAACACTTTACTTCCCCAGTCTGCATCCGTCGCAACTTCAACGAGGTGGTCTAGGCCGAACGGGTACTCTTTGGGGTCCCAATCTTCTGGATCACAATCACGACCTTCCCACTTCTGAAACAAGCTGCGCCCTGGATTGCAACGATCAAGCCTCACAGCTACTACAGGGTGCAACTTCACGTGCTTTGCCAAGTGCCTCAAGAGACCAAAGTCAGTAGCCGTAGGTTCGCTGCAACGTGAAGAAAGGACTTTCACACCATACTGAAGGTCGGGGCGCTCACTGCTCATGTAAAGTAGGATTCCGATGCACTGGCGATAAAGAGCATGTATCTCGGCGCTCAGACGCTCACCCACACCCGGTTCTGGGATTTGTTGAGGCATAGGGGTCTTCTTCACGTTAGCCTTTTCCAAACCCAAAAGACCAACCAAACGCTCAGCGTACTTGACATCCTGGGTGACCCTGAGGCCCTTTTCATCAGACTCAAACTTGCGCTTAAGGAAGTGCGAGATCCCCCCTTTCACGTCAACCGGCCCATCGATCTTCACCTTCAGCCCTTTGTCCTTCAGTTTATTCGCCAACGCCATGGGAGCACCCTTCACGCCAAGGATCTGCATGTCATCTACATGGCTATGCAGGGCCACCTGCTGGGGGATTGCAAAGACCGCCGGGTTTCCCTTGAACGTATCCATACCCCCCTCAGACAAAGTCCCCAGTAAGTAGTCATACCAATCTCGCGAACCAGTGCGTTGGCCCGGAAGGGTGTACAACAGCTCAAGGTCACCAATGGGGGTCTGGATGTACGTAGGCCGTCTCTGCTTTACTTGCAAGTAGGCGTCGGTGACGTCGAGTGACACCAACTCCAGCTGCTGGCTCGACGCAAACATGCATCCAAGAAGCTTGTGACTGCAGGCAACAAATGCTGGACTATAAAGATCAGTCAAAGTAGGCTCCAAGAACCTGTACTCTTTGGCAACCAATCTTGCCCTCCGAGTCCAACCGCTCCTAAACCTCCAATCCAGCACGTATTTGCACTGCAACTTGACCTTCCCTTCACGAGCTTCAGGAGACATTTCGGCCAAGACGCCCATCTTCAACAAGCGGCCAATCTCTTTCTCCCTCATCTTCTCGTCCAAATTTTCCAGCTCCTCGGGATCAAGGTCCGGGGGTCCTAGCTCGTAAGGCCTACCACTCCAGGGCATCCCAGCATCACCCGGAACACCGGCACCACTTTCCTCAAGCACTTCTTCTGGCTCACAAAAGATCTCATCTTCAACAGGCATGTTTCCTAGTCCTGAGCGGTCCAGTCCGCGGCCCGTAGGCCGTCCTTCATGCATTAATTAATCGTGGTTT